ATTGTGTGTTAAGTTTGGGGACTGCTTATATTGACCTGGGATATGAGTTTCTCTGTTGAGGAATGTGTATAAACTATTTCCATTTGGCACAGACTTTTTTTTTTAAAGTGGAGTACCTGAGGTGTAGACACTTGTTTCCTACAGATAGAGCCCCAGAAAGAGGCTGGTGGTGCTTTCACTCCTGTGGCAAATTCTGAACTTGGTAACTTCTACAATGAATCCATACTGCAGCTAGGGCGGGGCCAGATGCCTGCACCACAGAGCTCCTGTGTGCTGACAACTAGAATCAAGGCCGGAAGCCATTCTGCATTCTGGCCAAATGCTTTCTTGGCTTTCCAGATAACACAGCACCCCTTCTCTTGCTGAGTCAACACTCTCACCACTGCTACAGGCTTCACCACAGGACAGACACTATTCCCAGGTGTCAGAAGGTATAGTCACTTGACACATGGATTCTCTCCCTCCTTTTTGTCATTGGATCTCAGCTGAAGTGTCACTTCTTCAAAGACATGTTCCCTGGCAAGGCTAGGGTCTTCCAAACCCCTGAGCTCTATTTTTTTATGGTGCCCGTCCTGTTTACAATGCTGCCAGCTTGTGTGACAAAGAGTAAAATGTCTGTCTTTTGCCTGGCACGGAGTGGAGTGTATCACATTGGAGGTAGTCAGTAAAGATGAACAGAGGGAATTCAAGGACTAAATGAGACAAAATATGCATTAGTACTTAGGAGTGCACCTCACAGGTGGACAAATGATGACTGAGTGTATGGGGAGACAGAGAATTACTGTCTGATGTAGCAAGTATTTCTCTGCACTGCCAACTCTCAAATAATGACATGACGACTTATTAATTATGAAAGCTTGGTCTTAGCTTAGGCTCTTTTCTAACTGGCTTTTACAACTTAAATTAACCAAGTTCCATTAATCTATGTGCTGCCATGTGGCTCGCAGCTTTTACCTCTCCTCCTACATGTCCTGTTTCTTCTTCATCCAGCTGGCAACTCCATCTTTCTTCTTCCCAGAAACCTCTCTGTCCCCAGAAGTCCAGCATAGCTACTGGTCAATCATAGCGACACATCTTCACGCAGTATAAAGGAATATTCTGCAATGGTCTGACTATAAAGTGGTCCTCAAAAGGCCTGTGTTGGAGGTCTGGTCCCCAACTGATTAGTACTGAATCATGACTGCATCATCAGTCCACAAATAGCATCAAGGAGCTATTGGCAAGTGGTGCCTGTCTGAAGGAAGCATATCAGTAGACATGTCTTTGAAGAGGGGTCGCTATCCCATTTCTCTCAGATCTTGGCTGCTGAGATATGAGCAACTTTGTCCTGCTAAACTCTCTGTCCTGACTTTCTGCCTTATCGGGCCCACAGTAATAAAGCAAACTCATCATGAACTGAAACCAGGAATCAGGAAACAAAATAAGTCATTTCTGTATTTAAGTTACTCTCTCAGGTAATTGTCACAGGGATAAAAATATGACTAACACGATAATTATGGTACATTTCAAATGTAAAGTGGAGACAAATAAGACAGAGGAGTCAAGAAAACCCCAAGTTCTATGATGGAAGTTAAGGATAAGAAACAAAAACTGAAATAGTCAGAGGAGTCAATCCTCTGCATTTGCAGCACATTCTTATGGGCAAATTATATAGCTGGTCTAGAAATTCAGAGTAAAATCACTGCATGGGCTCTTCTCTGTCTGTTCCCTATGCTACAGCAGGAAGTATTTCAAGACCACTGACCCTGTCTGTGCTGGATACCATCAGTCATCTACAGGTGATTCCAGTAAGCACACGTAAGCATACACTATGCCATTCTGTGAGGGTCTTGAACCTCTATGATGCAGGATCTAATGTCCCATAGACACCCAGGGACAACCACACTATAATGAAGCCAAGGGCACAAGCCATCTTAGGAGCTAATTTAAAGCATGATGAGATGCTATTTCACACTACTTATAGTGGCTATATTGAAATACTGCCTACACCAGATATTGGTGTGTGTGTGTGTGCAACACTGGCACCTCTCCCCTGTTGTGGTGGGTTGTGTAAAATCACCTTGCAAACTGTTTCATAGTTGATTTTGAATGTTCCAATCCACAGTCAGAAGCATTATCCACCGTACCATTGGGCCCTGGCTTGTTTGTTGTAAGGTTAATACACCTGCCAGATGAACCACCTAGCCATCTCTCTCTAGCTATTTATGAACACTAATGTCCACAAAGACTTCAGAGGGCTCTCAGGCACAGCAGCTCCTCCACTTACAACAGCACAGAACTGGAAACACCTATTTCCTATGCAGATGAATAACCAAATTATGATAATTCAACTCAACGTAATGTAAAAAAAGAAATATGAGAATAAACAGCTTTGTTTTTGCATACTAGAAGGTAGGCACATGGGTGTGCACTGTGTGATTCCATTTACACACAGTTTGAAATAAGCCACTGGATCTGATGATGAGCGAGTCAGAAAATAGACCTGAGAGAGAGAGAGAGAGAGAGAGAGAGAGAGAGAGAGAGAGAGAGAGAGAGAGAGAGAGAGAGAGAGAGAGAGAGAGAGAGAACAACAGAACTCTAGCAGGATTCTAGCACGACAAATGGTGAGGATAGTGGGAATGTACCAGCGGTCTGAAAAACAGCCAAAGCTTGCCCTCAGGTCTGGTTCTCTGCAATCTGACGGCTGAGAATGTGTTTTGGTTTTTGTTTTTCAAAGGTAATAAGCAAACAAATAAGGCATGTGACAGAAAGCATGAACGGCCCACAAAGTCTGGGGAGCTAACCCTCTTTCAGAAAGTTGGTAGATCTTGATGTCTGGCAGTGGAATGCAATAGTGTGGCTTAGGGAAGAAGCAAGGTAAGTGTGTGAGTGAAGAGAAGGAGAGCCCAATCATCAAAACCAATGGGGAGCTCGTATGTAGCTGGACTTCAGAAGCACTGGGGCTGCGAATACAGGGCACAAGTGGGGCTTTCACCTTCTCTGCATGGAATGGAAAGGAGGAAGAAAGAGGCAAGGCAGGAAGGACTCAATCTTGCCAGGGAGTTCAAGCTTCAAAGAGGAGTCTACTCTCTGTGCAGGCCTTAAGGGGCCTGTCTTAACCACACTACGTAAAAACTGCAAACATCTCCATTACTCCCAATCCAGCACTCCAGGCCTCTGTCTTTACCTGTCCCCATAAATTATTTGCAACCCTCTAGTATGCAGGCTGTAAAAAGGAGAGACAGTTTTATACCTCACTCGCTAATGCTTTCAAAGCCTATAGAATTGCAGAAGGCCCTGGGCAGGTGTTCACAGATCCATGTATGTGCAGACAGTGAGCAGGTCAGGCTGGGAAAGGCCCTTTAGGGTCAATGCCAGCTGCCCTGTAGCTGTGGAAGGTTGTGCTGTGCACTGCAGGATGCTTGGCATGCCTTTGCCCCATACCTGCCAGATGCCAGCACTCCTCTCCTGTTATGACAAAATCTCTTAAGATGTTGCCAAAACACCTGTGGACCAGAACCAGTGGCTAGCCATGGGCCTTAGGAACATGAATGACTCATTCATGTTTTACTTAACAAACACTGATTGACTGCAACAAACAGCTGGAGCATTCTAGAAATATGAATGAGAAGCTGATAAGGACTCTGCCCACAACATTTACAAACTAGTGACAAAAACCTATAAACTGACAAAATAATTACACACTATGATTCATGCTTAAAGAAAGTACACATGTTGGAGAGATAAACACCAACAAGGAGAGATCCCCACCCTGGCAGAAGACAGTTTAATTAACGCCTCAGCATGCATGGGCTCTTCTCTGTCCTCCACACATTATATAGTATAGAAGTTGAGGGATGAAGCTGAAAGGGGGATGTGTGGAAATAGTAAGTACTTCATCCGGGCATACCCTGCGCTAGAAAGAGCATGAAGCCTTCCAGGGAGGCCGGCAAGGCTGTAGCGCTGTGGCAGAAGGGGTCTAGGAGTCTTAATTTAAGAGACGGCAAGTTGATACAAATGTAGTGGACACTCACAGGGATGAAATCAGACAGCTACTGGCTAGAAATGGGACTTCACAACCAGGAGGAATGCACATAAGTACAGGAGTGGCTGAGTAAAGCCCTTATGAGATAGTCTATATGAACCAAATGCCAAGCCACAGAAACTTGTTTCTGTCTCTAGGAAGAGTCAAAAGAAAATTGCCATCAGAGAGCTGGCAAGAAGAGCCTGACCCAGTGACAGACTCAGGGTGAAGGGGTTAGAAAAAGGCTCACAAGAATGCCACCAAGCCAGAAAAGCCAGAGTCACAGGCAGGGATGGCCGAACACAGGTAAAAATAACCCGAGAGAGCCTTAAAACCCTCGTTCCTTCCTAGGCTCAGGTGATAGGGACACACACGTGTGTCTTCACATTTGTGCACAGTAATATCCACATTCAGGCAGCGAGTGTCGCCCATTAGTAGAAAACGGTATGGGCAGAGAAGCGCACAGACCAGGAGAGTCTGTTGCTGACAGGTGACTTGGCACAAACCCACCACAGTGATTCTGCAGATATTCATTTCCCTATAGCCTAACTGCAGCGCTGGGAAATGTTTATCACCAGAAGCTGGAGTCATCATCAGATTGTCTGCAGGCAAAGATGTAGGGCATTTTCTTCATTAATGATTGATGTGGTGTCTTCCCTGTAAGGTGGTCCAGGATGTATAAGGAAGTAGGATGAACAAGCCCTGGGAAGCAAGCCAGTAAGCTGTGTTCTTCCATAGCCTAGGCATTAGTTCCTGCCTCCTGATTCCTACTTAGCTAAGGTCCTGGCCTGATCCCCCTCAATCACAGACCTTGATATGGAAGTATAAGGTGAAGTAAATCCTTCCCTTCCCAGGTTGCTTTTGGTCATGTTATTATCAATGTAGTAGAAAGCAAATAGGACACTGATCTTCACCACTGCAAGTGTGAGTTAGTAAAAACTGAGGACGGAAAAAAAAGTGGATGCAGCCACAGTCATGGAAATAAGAACCCGCTTACCTGTAAGCATTAATATACTCCTTCCTGTGCTCCAGAAGAAAGTCTCTCAGCTTCCCAATGTGAGAAATCTGCAATGGAAAAGATGGCAACATTGTATATGGGCAGGTGTACACTGAGTGAGCACACTTGCCCACAGTAGAGCACAGCTGCTGAGACTCGAACTGCGAACTCAGAAACTTTTTCTAATTTTGCTGGGAGGGGGGTTGTACTAAAACAAGGTCCAGCTATTATAGCTCAGGATGGCCTTGAGCTTGTGGACCTCCTGCTTTCATATTCAGAGTACTGGGATGACAGGCATGAGCCACCATACCCAATTCACAACTTTGGTTTTAGAATCTCACACTACCACACTAACTCTACCATGTTAACTCTCATGGGCATTGGTCTCTTACAAATGGCTGTGCCTTTCTCTAACTGTAGTGACCTATGATGCTAGGCACAGATGATGCCAAAGGAAGTACAGACTACACCAGACAGTGCACCTCAGGAGCTCAATAAAGGGCAATTCTTTTTTTTTTTTTTTTAACGTACCACTTTGGGAGATTTTCTTTTTTTTCTTTTTTTTTTTCTTTTATTTTCCAGTTTAAATTTAGATAAGAAACAAGGTTGCTTCACAAGTCAGTTTCAGGTCCCTCTCCCTTTCCCTCCCCTCCTCCCGTGCCCTCCCCCAACCCCCCCCCCCCGTTATCCCCTCATTCCCCCAGGGAGGGTGAGGCCCTCCATGGGGGTGTCCATAGTCTGTCATTTCATATAGGGCAGGGCCTAGACCCTTCCCCAAGAGTTCAGGGTGAGAGTGCACCTCACATTGTTCTATGGGAGTCCAAAGTCCGTGTGTATACTTGGGATGGGTACTGATCTGCTGCCCAAGGCTCAATAGATTACCTAGGCCTCACTGACACCCAGATTCAGGGGGTCTTGATCAGTCCCATGCTGGATTCCCAGGCTGATGCCTGGGATTCAAGAGTCAACCTTTGTCTGGTCAGCTGTTTCTGGGGGTTAAACCAGCCCAGTCTTAATCCCTTTGATCATCAGTCCTCCCTCTCTGTTACTGGCTTTCTTGAGTTCAGCTCAGTACTTAACCAAGGGAGTCTGCCTCTTCTTCGATCAGCCACTAAATGAAGTTTCTGTTTCCCAGACTCTCTGGCCATAGGATTGTAGGCTGGCACTCCCCAGATCTATGTCTAAAATCCATATATGAGAGAGTACATGCCATGTTTCTCTTTTTGTGACTGGGTTACCTCACCCAGGATGGTTTCTTCTAGTGTCATCCATTTGCCTACGAATCTCATGATTCCATTGTTTTTTTTCTGCTGAATAGTACTCCATTGTGTAAATGTACCACATTTTCTCTATCCACTCTTCGGTTGAGGGACATCTAGGTTGCTTCCAAGTTCTGGCTATTACAAATCAAGCTGCTATGAACATAGTGGAACAGACATCTTTGTTGTATGAATGGGCATCTTTTGGATATATGCCTAAGAGTGGAGTTGCTGGGTCTTGTGGTAGGTTTATTCCCATTTTTCTGAGGAATCTCCATACTGATTTCCAAAGTGGCTGAACCAGTTGGCACTCTCACCAGCAATGGAGGACTGTCCCCCTTTCACCACATCCTCTCCAGCATAAATTGTCATTGGTGTTTTTGATTTTAGCCATTCTGACAGGAGTGAGATGGTATCTCAGAGTTGTTTTGATTTGCATTTCCCGGATGGCTAAGGATGTTGAGCACTTTCTCAAGTGCCTCTCAGCCATTTTAGATTCCTCTATTGAAAACTCTCTATTTAGTTCTGCAGCCCACTTTTTAATTGGGTCCTTTGATGTTTTGGAGACTTGCTTCTTGAGTTCTTTGTAAATTTTGGAGATCAACCCTCTGTCAGATGTGGGATTAGTGAATATTTTTTCCCATTCTGTGGGCTGTCTTTTTGTCTTGCTGACTGTGCTCTTTGCCTTACAGAAGCTTCTCAGTTTCAGTAGGTACCATTTATTAATTGTTGATCTCACTGTCTGTGCTACTGGTGTTATGTTCAGGAAGCTGTCTCCTGTACCAATTCGTTCAAGGGTACCACCCACTTTCTCTTCTAAGAGGTTCAGTGTGGCTGGATTTATGTTGAGGTTTTTGATCCATTTGGACTTAAGTTTTGTGCATGGCGATAAACATGGATCGATCCACATTCTTCTACATGCCAGTCTCCAGTTATGCCAGCACCATTTGTTGAAGATGCTTTCTTTATTCCATTGTATATTTTTAGCTTCTTTGTCAAAGATCAGATGTTCGTACGTGTATGGGTTAATACCCGGGTTTTCAATTCGATTCCATTGGTCTACCTGTCTATTTTTGTGCCAATACCAAGCTGTTTTCAGGACTATAGCTCTATAATAGAGCTTGAGGTCAGGGATGGTGATGCCTCCGGACGTTGCCTTGTTGAACAGGGTTGTTTTGGCTATCCTGGGTCTTTTGTTTTTCCATACAAAATTGATTATTGTTCTTTCAAGGTCTGTGAAGAATTGTGCTGGGATTTTAATGGGGATTGCATTGAATCTGTAGATTGCTTTTGGCAGGATTGCCATTTTTACTACATTGATCCTACCTATCCAAGAGCATGGGAGATCTTTCCATTTTCTGAGGGCTTCTTTAATTTCTTTCTTTAAAGATTCAAAGTTCTTACGATACAGGTCTTTCACTTAAGGGCAATTCTTTTTTGAGTGTATTATATCTATATTCACAGACAATCGTTTCTTCTCTCAGATGCTGCAGGGGATGGATCCTGAGGCTGAAGCTGAAGGTATATAAATAGAACTTGTGGGAGCAGCACAGTTAGAGATAATTTGGACAATGATTTAACCCTACATGGATCCTCACCCTTTTTGTGGGTGCCCCCACAGATGAATAAGAAACAATAGCTTGTGAAATTCTTCTTTGATATCGCTGGCTTCAGGTTTAATGAAACGCCTACTCTGGGGCTGCTGGTGTAGCCTAGGCACATGAGTCCTTATCTGGGATCCTCCAGGGCCTGGTTCCATACCCAGTACTGGAAACTAAACCAACCCTGCTCTAGAGTACCTATCTACCAGTGGGGAGTTAGTAATTCAAACTCGGGTCACAGCTTTGGGGGCGAGTGTTCTGAGAGGAAGAGAATGACTAGCCAGCAGTGGCCTGTTTGCGTCACGCAGACCTCTTTCCCCTCTTGCCTTTGTGCCCCTGCTGACAGATCTGCTGAGCTTTCACTTCTCTGTAAGATTTTCTGTTAAGACCAACTCAGGGTAATTTTCATTTGCTGTGTATTTAAAAGGACCTTTGCACACCTCCCTTGTGGCATGCTGTTTGTGCTGACTTAGCCTTTATATACATGCTTCTCTTTTCAGATTCATCACGAGTCACCCAGGAGGCCTGTGCAGTGTTCTTCACGAGTCTATGTGCAGGAAGCGCGGAAGATAACCAGCATCTCACACAAGACAACAAACCAGGTCTGCTGGAGATGTGTGGCAGAGGTTAGTCCCGCCTCCCACAAGGTCCTGACTAGTAGTGCAAATGCAGTTCAGAAAGGTGCTCTAGGACACTTTAAAAAGCACAGAGGAAAAAAACCCGCATATGATTAGAATATCCACTTGATGAGTCTGTGCAACACTCGGCAGGAACACCCGCTTTCAAACATAGTCTCTTTCCTCTTTCCAAAGGCCCTGTTGTGTTCACTGACTACCACTGTTCCCACACCCAATTGTGAATACGAATATTGCAGAGAATATGTCTCAGATCCCACACTCAGTATACAGAACTCAGGTTCAAGCTCAGGTCTGAGTTCATACTGGGCATGGTTCCTAGCTACCACAGCTGCCTTCCTCGTATTTTCCCTATTTCATATCCAAGCTGCATCATAAAATCTCACTGTTAAGTCCAGTAGGGAAAAATTTCAAACTATACAAGCAAAGTCTCTCACATGACATGAAAGATTTGATAAAGCAATTCTTCTGTGTCAAGCCCTGCCTGCTTACCAGGACTCACAAACACTTGACAGGCTATGTAGACAATGAAGAGAAAGAAAGGGAAGTGGATGGTAGGGTTTTTAGATTGACACAGTTCTAGCTTTAAAACACTATAGCCAAAGGATGCATCCTGGTTGGGGGCGAGGGGAAGGGGCACTAATATGTGCCTAAAGAGTGGAACCAGATTTCCAAATCCAGCAGTCCAAGTTCTTCACTATATAGCTGCAAGGTCTTAGTCTAGTCTAGTTCAGACTGCAGGCTTGGAGTCTAGAGTTTCCCACCACCTGTACACCCACAGGACCTGGTCTTTCTCCGACTGTCCTACTCAAGTGTGTTTCCCTCTCAAAGGGCTGCGTGTGCACCTGTTAGAGTGCCTGCTCCTTCCTGAAAACACCATGCCCATGCTGGGGCCATAGCCTGACTTCCCCTGGGCAGATGGAAACTCCCAAAGGATAATAGTGAAGATTCTATCTTCCCTGCAACTTTCCCGCTACAGGCTTTTAGTTTTGTTTTCCTTAACACAAATCAGCTGGGCTTCATGTGGGAATGCTTGCATTTGTTGACCTAAAAAAACTTCATTTTAAAATTTTTAAACTTTATTATTATTATTTGTACATATGCATGGGTGTAAGAATACAACTTTGTTATGTTACTAGTCCTCCATCTTTACATGGGTTCTGGAGATCAAATTCAGGCCATCAGACTTGGGCAGCAAGAGCTGGGCTGAGTCATCTTACCTACCCTAAAAAATATGTTTAAAGTCAAAATCTTTAAATGTTTGCATATAGACATACTTGCAATAGATATATGCCTTCACAGACCCAAGTTTTTTCCTTTGGAATAAGCTGTTGGTCCATGTTTTGCAACCCAGGAAGCTTAGAACTACCAAAGCCCTTGGGGTGTTAGGAGGAAGGTCCACAAAGAACAGGATGGTCAGAAAGACTTGCAGGACAATGGTGGCGATTTATCTTGACCTTCAATTACCAAGCTCCCCGAAACACAGTTTACATGTACTCGAGCTGATCCACATCCACACAGAGAAGTTCCAGGCAAGGACTGTATGGAGCTGGGGAGACGGAGCAGAGGAAAG